AAAATCTTATAATCCTATTGAATTTCAACTGAAGAACTTCATTGATATCATATGCATTTCACACAGTTTTTGTCACTACAAAATTTTGATTTGGTGGCAAAATGAACTTGGACTTTCAAGAACAGTTTAATGTCACTTAATGTTTAGCATTTAGTATTTATGCTTTCCTAGACAAATTGGTATCATTAGGACCTTGATAATCTATTTTTCTCAAAGTCAGGCAAGTGCAATAAGAAAAAAAACTATTATTCTCAATTTATGAAAACATCCGACCACCAATAAGACATATTAGCAGGGAATCTGAGAGTGTTTCTTGTAGTTTTACTATTTGCAAAGCATCTAATTCAATTAAACACTTACCAATTGTTTAAACGAATGAGATAAATGAATGATTTAACCTCTTACTTGGCTCCATCCCAATAGCCCCCCAAAGTATTTATTAAACAATATAGTTTAACACAACATAGTAGTAAAAATCCATTTATTACTAAATTATTACTAAAATGCTCCCTAAGCTTTGCTCCATGCAAAATTCTAAGGATAATATGTTACACTATAAAATGAATGCAAGTCCTGCCCCAAACGTCAACAGCCCTTCATTTAAAATAAAAAAAAAAAATTAAATTTTAAGCTAATGGCACACCATAGTGGGCTCCTTCTCTCCTTTTAAGTCTCTTTATCACTATGAGTGAGCAGAGTTTACCATCTTAGACAAAAACCCAAATATACCTTCTCTATATATTAGCTACTTACTCCAGAAAACGTCTTGGGCCTGTTGTCATTAGGCACTGCTTCTCTCTAATTTCCTTAATTTGTATCTTTCTGACTTTTACCTATTTAACTAGATGGACCGCCTCAAGAAAGAAGTGTTAGCGAGAAAAAAAAAATGAAGAAGGAAGAGAGTGTTATTTGTAGTGAAGTTATAAGATAGACAGGGCTTCACCTACTGTTGGGGATGAAAGAAGTCATACCTGGCCTGGTATTAGGCAGCCCAGTTGATAATTCCTGGCAAGAGGCCCAGAGTACACTTATGCACAGTGAGCACAATATAATGAAGTCCAAAGCCCCAGGGGCAGGAACCAGATCTTTCTCTCCATTTTATTCTGTGCCAAGTTCTCAGTCTTGGCTCAAAATAAATAAATGAATAAATGGATGAATGAATGAATGAAATTAAAATAAGAAATTTCATGTGTCAATAAGGCCATATTATACATGATATGGGGTCAAATTGTAGAAAACAAAGGAACTATTCAAATATAAAAAGTAAAATAGTTAAATAGCAGTTAAGGCTTAAAAAAAAGGAAGAAACAAGATCAAAAACAAATTCTGTGCTCAAAGGAAAATGTGTCAATTGTTGAATGTTGTAAAAAGAAAAATGGGACAATGAAATGTTTACATGAAAGCAATGGAATTCTAACTATGAAATAAAATATTTTTGATTAAAGTCAAGTCAAAACATGTATTACAGTGAATAGAGAAAAAAAGTAATATCCTCTTCCAGGAATAGACACACCAGCAATGGAGACATATGCAAGCAAATAGGATGTATAATTTTTTGTGACCCAGACCTTCAGCAACTCCATTCTATCTCCTCACAATCTCTATAAAGCACCTCTTTAGATTCTGGAATCTGCTTCTCAGATTTCCTCTTACTGGTAATTCTAACCAACCTTCTGAGTGTCTTTAATTTTCTATTGACACTTGGTCTATCACCCACATGATAGTCCTTTCATCAAGGTCAATAGTTTTAATAGGAGATGCAGGTTTTGTGGGATGTGAAAAATGTTGCAGGCTTCTTTTAAGAAAAAAAATACAATTTATAAATACAAAATAAGTACAAAGCATTTATTTAGATGATAATAAAAATCACAATAAATTACCAATCCTAAAAAGCTATCCAAAATTAACCACATCATGAAATAGATTTTGAAAAAAATATTTTTGTTAACAGACTGCTTAATAAACTTTTTATAATTATTTATAACAGAATAATTTAGTCTTTCCTCTGAAAAATTTGGTGGAAATTTGTTTTTATTACTAATAGTTCAAGAAAGTTTCAGCTTCATAATTCATTATTATTAGTCATGTAGAAAATGTAGGATTTTTTTTTTCAAATTGGGAAAGCTTATCAACTTTCTTTTATGCGTGAGCTGTTAGTTTTCTTACACAATGACTAATCTGAAATACACTTCACAAGGTAATTCGTTATCTATGTCACCATGTCAGGTAGGGAAATGGGTCCACATGTGTGCGATGAGAGTGTTTCTGGAACCCATCCCATTACCAGGAAGCCCATCACTCATTTATACATACAAATAACTGAAGCCTTATAAATATAAGCCAGTAAACTTAAATTAAATGTATCCCTAAATAAACTTTACATTTCTGTGCCTACTGCTTCAACACCACTCAACAAAAGCGAAGGTATAATTAAAGCAAAGCAAGAGTTGAAAGCAACGATTTTAATCTATTACAATTAGAACGTCTCACTTTTCAACTTTTACGAAACATATGGTCATGTGGTCACAAGAGTCCTTTTACAACGTCTCCAAAGAAGCTCTCTCATTGGCAAATTTTTTCATCCGCTCTCATGACCATCCTGTAGTTAATTATTTCTCTCTTCCCTCACCCCACTCTCACCATCTATGTTTGCCTAGCAAACTGTAGAACTACTATAAATCTCAAAACCTGACAGTCATTCTTGATGTTCCTCCTATCCTCTCCCTTCAGTACAATAAATCAACAAGTCTTTCAGATTCTAAATTCTGCATATCTCTCAACTTATCTTTTCCATTACTGCTACCAACACCATAATTTGAGCAATTTTCCTCTATCACCAGAACTCTCACAAGTTTCCTAATTCATCTATCTGTAGTATGACATTTTCAAAGTCATTTTTTTTTTTTTTTTTTGCAGAATCTCAAGAATAACTAATTTAAGATTCAATTGTGACCATATCATCCCTCTGTTAAGAACTATTCAATAATCCTCACTGCCCACAAATCACGCCCAATCCCTTTGCTGGCCTACAAACCCCTCCAAGACCAGCCCAGAATTTTTCAACCTTATTTCATTCCACTCTCAGCTAGGACTCTATAATTCAAAAAATCTCCAAAGTATAAGTAATTTTCCATACTCTATGCTCTATTAGGTTAAAATCAAGCATTCCCCACTATCTAAAATACATCTACATACCGTCTCCAACTCCACACTCATTTTTAAAGATTTGATTTAGATGTAAGCTTATTGGATAGAATTTCCTAAGGCCTAAATACTAAAAAAAAAAAAAAAAATTCCTCCTCTGTCCTCTTTTACTACATTGCTGTTAGTTCTATCACTAAACCCACCACATAATTTTTTTGTCTCTCCAACCAGTTTTGTAACATTTTTTGAGGCAGAGATGCTGTCTCATTCATCTTCATGCCTCTGTGGCATAATACCATACAAATGAAAGGTGCTCAATGAATCCGAATGAAAGAAAAACAAAATGTGAAGTTCGATGGTACAGTTGAAATCAGAGTGCTGAAGAAGTTTGAGAGAGAGAAATGAATTGTGAATGGTGTCATGAAGTAAGTAGCATTTTAAATGGAGCTTGAAAGATACATAAGATTTAGAATGATACCTAGATATAGGATAAAGGGGAGGTGCATTGTAGGACAGAGATTTAACAAACCATAACTAAAGATCAAAGAGCTTCTCTGCAAGAATACATCCAAAATTAAACTAATGAAGGAGAGCTTGGTGGAATAAATGAGAAAAAAAAAATATTCTTTAAGTCCTGACATGGATGATAGGTCACAAAGTATAATCAAGAGGACATGATTGGCCAAGCCAAAAGACGTCTTTGTGATTGAAAAAGAAACATTATCTTTTACATTCATGATAAACACACAACTAAGAATGTCAAAATGCAAAAGAGCTTTCTAGAAGAAGGATTTTTTAAATGCAAATAGAAATATCATAATACTGGTTAATTTTTTGTGGGGGTAAATTGCTGTTAAAATGCAAATAAAATGTTGCAAATATGAGTAGTATTGGTTATATTTTTGTGATGACAAATTACCGTATAAATGGAAACAATTAGCGTAAGAGACTAAAAACTAGCACTAAATATGGAGATATTAGGAACCTGGAAATGTTGGTCAATCAACTATTCATCGAATCACTTCCCTTAATTACTCTGGAAGATATAACTGAAGGAGAAAATAAAATTTTTTACCTGAAAAAGCTTAAAATGCAATTGCAAGAAGCAGATAAGCATAAAATAATAATAATAAAAAAAACATAAACAATGAATTCTAACAAGTAAGTACACAATAATGATTAAAAACAACAACAACAACAAAAAAAAACACAAGGATATCACAGAGAAGACATAAGATGACCTGGATATGACTATTAGGTGGAAGGAAGAAATTCTATGTAAAAATACTACCTTGTGCAAAGACATATTTCTGTCCAGTACGAAAGATTAACAGAATGGCCAAGGTGACAGAAGACTAAAGTATAATTTGTAATGTGTATGAAACAAAAGTTTCTATGACATGGCGAGTTAGTTGTGATGAGAATATCAGGGAGAAGCCTGTAAGGCTAAGACAGTTTTAGATATAATCGAATAGGTAGTATGAATGTGGTATAAAATTTGAAAAGGGAAATCACATGAAAAAATTCATCAGTGTATAAGGTTATCTGGACTATACATGTGAATTAAAAAAACAAAACAAAACAAAAATGGTTCATACAGTATTGTTAGTCACTATGTCATTTCTTTATTTCTTTCTCTCCCTTCTTATACTATTTCCTCTCTTTCTCACAAATATGTATGTATGCACACTCTTATACTATCATCTTTTTTAATCTTTTATGTTTTTAATTTGCTTTTCTTGTAATATTTCTTATTAAACCATTATGGATTTTACTGCCAGGTCTGTTTCTTGAAGTATCTAATCTTGTGAGGCTTAATGACTTCTAAAGTCCCTGTAGAGTTTGCCTTCATGACTCTTTTCTATATTCATCTGTAGTGTGTATGTGGCATCCTAGAGCAGGGGCCATGCTAACCTTCTCTGTATCGTTCCAATTTTAGTATCTGTGCTGCCAAAGTGAGCACTGTAGTGTTTAAATATCAAAAAAAAAAAAAAACCCAAAAACAAAACTATAATTTATTGACACATTGCTACATGCTAGGCACTCTGCAAAAAAAAAAAAAAAATTTACCCACGTCATAATAATCTTATCAAGCAAGGACTATTGTTACTCTCGCTTTACACATGAGGAACAAGGAGAATAGAGAATTTCATCCACCGAAGGTCACACAGGCTGTCCTTAATGAAGCAATGATCCACACCTTGGAATTTTTTATTTCAAAACCCTTCTTTCAATCACTAGCCAGCAGTCCCCAATCTTTTTGGCATCAGGGACTGGTGCTCCTATGAGAATCTAGTGCTCGATGATCTGAGGTGGAGCTGAGGTGGTGATGCTAGCACTGGGGAGCGGCCGCAAATACAAATGAAGCTTTGCTTGTGCCCGCTGCTCACCTCCTGCTGTGCACCCCATTTCCTAATAGGTCACGGACAAGAACTGGGCCTAGGCCTGGGGGTTGGGGACTAAACTATAGTGTCTCAGCCCTGATTTGTGTCTTTTCAAACTCCAATCAAGCAGCATCTTTAAAGAGAACGCAAATCTAAAAATAATCAAAGATGTCCTTTTCAAAATGTTATTTAGATAAGGCGGTGAAATTATAATGATTTCCACAGTTTATATATTCTATAAAAGAGTATTAAAAATTTATAAACTTCCTAGAAACACTATTGGTTTTTTTTTTTTTTTGAAGTTATAATTTGTAATGCATATGATACAAAAGCTTCAGAAAAGCATTTATACAGATAAAGATATTTAGTAGATCTACTTGTTCAAAAGGGCATTTGGCTCAGAAAAGAAAGAAGGAAAAGGAAGAAGGAAAAGGAAGAAAAGGAGTGGGGAGGAGGAGAGGGAGGTGGGAAAGGAGAGAAGGAAGGAAGGAAGAACAAGGAAAGGATGAGAAAGGAGAAGGCGGGGAAGGTTTATTAGAAAAGAGTAAACTTGATGACTCATGAATTGTTTAAATAACTATACGTAAATAGCAAGATAGTATAAGATAAAGATAACTGTAACAGAAAGGTTCAGAAAAAGAATTAAACTCATCATAGCACATTAAAATATAAATAAACCTGCATTGGATTTTATAGTATGATGCATTTAGGTATGGCCTAGGTTCAGTAAAAATATACTGGAGTGGGGGGTAAACAGAAAGATTTAAGAAAAAGAATAGATAAAATTACTAGAAGATTGGCCTTTTGCTTTTTCTAATGATCCAAGTCTAAATGTTCTCAATAAATCTCTCTCCCCCCACACCCCTACTTCTCAGAGTTCCTTCCGCCAATAGTTTCCATCTAGAATAATCTGATCTTGATTCCCTGTCCCATCGCTCAGGGAGACGCGTCCTGGCTGGCTGACAGGATTTGCAGAAAACTCTTTTTCTTTTACTCAGGTTTGGAATATAATATGTAGCAGCAGTGTTACCAGGTGTTTTACTCTTGAGAATAGGAGGATAGATGGAAAGTTACATTACGGTTTTCTTAAAGTCCTCTGCAGCACATCAAGGATAAGCAAGAGATTAGAAATAGATGGTACCCTTTGAAGGAAATGACTTGTGTTTCTGCAAAAAGGCTCTGCTGCACAAACAGAGTACGAACGTCCTGGAGAAGCAGAGAAAGACTTCAGAGAGATCACCAGGAATGACCATTCCCAAAGGTTAATTCATGAAGAAGGGCTGGAAAACATCGTATTTCGTAGTGTCAGTTTCTATTATGTCATAAGCTGAATAATGTCAAAATATAGCATAATCAAATAGAAACTCAAAGCTTAAAACTGTAAGCTATTCTAAAATCAGCAATTGTATTACTCTCAAAGATTTTCTATCCCTTTTCTCTTAAAAGTCTCAAAATACAAACATTTCAGAACTTTACATGAGAAAGTACAAAACGATCCTTTGACCCATTTCACATAGGGAGAATCTGAATCATGAGGATGTTAAATGCTTTTATCTGGCCACAACAAAAGGTCACCAGATAAAGCAAAGATAATTTCAGAGTCTGACTTCCTTCCACTGTATTATAAAGTTCATTTAGTAGTAGAGAGCTAGAAATCTCTCTAACAAGCATACTAGGAAATCAAATCCCGAGTAAATGTCCATTATAGTCAGAATCTCATTCTTTGCCCCAAATTTATGTCCTCATCCACTTTGAGATGTACTTACTTAAAAAAAAAAATTGAGAAAATAAATACATATTACCCCAAAGTAAATAATTCCTAAATTTTGGGGGATATAATGCCCTGTGATTGATTTTTGTGGTACTCTATATCTTCTTAAAGTCTTGCATGAATGACATTCTTTTTTAAAAAGTTATGTCATCTTCTTGCTAGGATTCTAGGATTAAGTAAAATTATTCTACATTTTAAATTATTTTCCCCAGGGCATGATGATATACTTATTAATTCATTTCTCTCTTTTTCTCTTACTTCCTTACATCCTTCTAACTACTTTTATTTGACTCTTATTCTTATTCCCAATTCCCAGAAACCACAAGTGTAAACAGTTTATTTTCAGATCAAAACAGATTGACATTAGCTGTATTTTGTATGGCAGGCAGATTGCATGGTGGTTAATTGAACACACACACTCTGGAGTCAGGCAGCTTAAGGCTGAGTCCCTGTTTCCCCACTTACTAGCTGGGTAACGAGCAAGTCTTGTATAAGTGAGACCTTTCTTTGCCTCAGTCTCCTCACCTCTAAAATAGATATAATAATAGCACTGACCTCACAGGATTGTGTCTAAGATGAAATTTGTTAAGATGTAAAAAGGACTTAGAGCAGTGCCTGGCGTGTACTATTCATTGTGTGTTCGCTATTATAGTTTTTGTTCCTCTAGTTCATCACCTTGCTAAATGGTTAAGAGCTGATGAGAAGTTCAGAGCTGCTTGTGGTCGTTATATATTTTCATGTCATTCACAGAATGATGTCCTACCAGATTCTAAAGCAGAAAAGTTTGACACCTTGACACACAGAGTTTCTGGCAACCAATGGCCTGTGCATGGACTTGGCTCATATGAAGACCTCTTGTTGATTTTGCATCTGGACATAGTGGGCCAACATTGTTATGATGTACAAGGTGTCACGAAAGCCTGCAGGGAAGCCTTCGATCATAGGAAAATGACAGGTCTCATTGTTTTTGTGGGGAGCAGACCAGAGACCAAATGACTTAACTCTTTCAGGTAACATCCTAGTGGGATTCTACCTTGGCAGATAAGCTTCCCTGAGCCATATATAATCAAGAGAAACTATTATCAGCAAATGTGCACTGCCTCTCATTTCTGGACCCTCATCTCTTCTCTATGATAACGAGCATAACTTTTCCTGTAAAGCACCTTCATCAAGGTTGAGTCTTTGTTATCCTCACAAAGTACATCTGTATTAGCTGCCTTGAAGTTTCTTCTGAATCGTTGCCTTAAAACGTTTATGGTCTCGGACCACCTTAAAAAGAAATATTCTCTTAAATTTTTACCCTATGCCCACTGATGTGCTATATATACATATGTGTGTGTGTGTGTGTGCGCGCGCGCATGTGTGTACACTGTTGTTGTATTGAAACAATATTGTTACCATTGGTGAAACTCCAGACAGTGAAAATATGAAATTTCTATCTTCAGAGCCATGCGAATACAGTTTTTAAAAGGGTTTTAAATAAAAGGCAATATTTGTCATATTCAAAACAATCTGATAACTTTTTATACATTAAAACACATGATATAGGAAACATACACTCCACTTTTTAAGCATTTTTACATACATAAAAACAAAAGAACAAAAATGATTGTATATAGACAATCTTATGAAAGAACCCTCACCAAGACACAGTACCCTGTACTGTTTGTAACTTAGGGCAGAGTCCATACTCAAGCTAGTATCTCCATTATTTGAATAATATAGATGTTTAATAAACACTTGTGAAATAAACAAATGAATAAATATCTAGGTATATTATACAACTGCATTTAGCACCAATGTTCTGAAAAGATAATGTCCTCTTAGAGATTGTAAGCAATTCCCCTATAAGAAGATTGTCCTTAAGTATATATTTCTCCTGAAGTTAAAAAAAATTACTATACTTTTAAATTATATTTTTGAGTAATTATATACTAGGTTATACAGTACTTACTTCCTCAACCAGACCATAGCAAAGCAAAATTATTCTTTTTTTAAGTCTATAATCGATTTTCATTAAGGAAATACAAAAATAATACACAAGATAAATTGGGCGGAGAGAGGTAGCCTCAAAATGTGCTACAAGTTAGCTTGTCGTTTTTAAAAAAGTGCTTTGTCATGAGTTGGAAGCATTTTAGCTTCTTTTTAAAAATTGTTTGAAACATTTTGACTAAAGCCAAGGTTTCCAGTGAAGAGGAATCTTGTAAATGTGCTGATTTAGATGAAATATAAAAACAGAATATGAAGACCCATGGGATGAATAATTTGTCTATAATATATATTGATTTCTTATTTTCAACTTGACCAGTGAAGTGAAGGAACTCATTTGACCAAGAGTAGATATTATTATCATTTCTAGCAACTTTCTTTATCCTGTTTGAAAAAACTAGTTTGTATTAAATCATTAAACCCAAGTAAACATTTAAATGCTGTAATCAAAGCCCAGAATAATAACTGAAAGACAACTTATAAAGAATCATTACAAGTTAATATCTCTCACTTCAAGAATATGTGTGAACAGAATGAGTAAGTAAAGGGAATGGAAGGAAAAGGAATCTGTATCATAGCTTCCACATGCTGATAAAAATTTTATTAATTTGCAACACAACCTACTGGAATTTTCTTTTAACGTTTCTGTTTAAAGTCATAGTACCAAGTTTTTTCTATTTTGGGAAAACTGCCACCAGTGGCCTAAACTGCATTTTAACTTTTGGAAAGTTAGTGTTTTATGTTCAATGTCATGTCAAAACAAATTCTATTTTAACCCTCTCAAGCTATGAGAAGGTTGGTATTTGCTTCAAAATATAA